GCATTGTTGCCCAGGGTAGCTGTGGCTGCCCCATCCCTGGGGGTGTTGAAGGGCAGGTTGGATGGGGCTTGGAGCAGCCTGGGCTGCTGGGAGGTGTCCCTGCCCATGGGGGGTGGGACTGGATGGTCTTCAGACCATGGAATGGTTTGGGTTGGAAGGGACCTTGAAGACCACCTGCATGATCCCCTAGATGATCTTCAAGGTGGTTTTCCCATCCCTGCAAGTGTCCAAAGGGCAGGTTGGATGGGACCTGAAGCCCCCCTGGGCTGGTGGGAGGTGTCCCTGCCCATGCAGGGGGGTTGGGTCTAGATGAGCTTTAAGGTCTCTTCCAACACAAACCACTCCATGGTTCTACGATCACCCAAGTAGGATAAGAAGGGAACAGATCTAAGAACAAGGACAAGGCTGTTTGAGCTCTACCCCGAGCTGGGTCACCCCCTCCCACCCGTGGCAGGACCTGTACTCACACTGGCAGCTGATCTGGTGGGTGGCGTTCAGGAGGCGAACGCACGGGGCCGTCTTGTTGAGGGGGATGTAGATCTTCCTCTCCACCGAGTTCCCCTGGCAGGAGCCTGGAGAGGAGACACAGCTCAGAGCCAGGGGACACAAACCCGGGGCTCCCTGAACAGCTCAGGCACCCCCACCTCTATTATTGGGGGATAAACGAGCTCCTCCTCCACTAGGGAAGACCCAAGCGAGGCCTCCCGGTGCTGCCATCTCAAGCAGGGCCCACCAGCCCAGGCTGCTCCAAGCCCCATCCAACCTGCCCTTCAACACCCCCAGGGATGGGGCAGCCACAGCTTCCCTGGCCAACCTGGCCCAGGCTCTCCCCACCCTCACACTCCACAATTCCCTCCTCAGCTCCAACCTCCAGCTCCCTCTCCCACTTTTCATCCCTCCCCCTCATCCCATCCCTCCCTGCCCTTGGCCCAAGTCCCTCCCCAGCTTTCCTGGAGCCCCTTCAGGCCCTGGAAGCTGCTCTAAGGTCTCCCTGGAGCCTTCTCCTCTCCAGGCTCAACACCCCAACTCTCCCAGCCTGGCTCCAGAGC